GGCCTAGACCCTTCATCTGATGAAGGGTCTAGGCCCGAAACGTCAGCCTCTCTGCTCCTATGATGCTGCTTGGCCTGCTGTGTTCATCCAGCCCTGCACCTTGTTGTCTCGGATTCTCCAGCATCTGCAGTTCCTACTATCTCTGCGTATCATTCTTGTTGATTTCATTCCTTTCATTTCATTCTAGTTTTTTGCTGTCTCATTCAGTGTCCTGATCATGTCTTAAATTTTGGAGGTAATAGCATTCAGTAGGACCTCCAAGTCCCTGCCACATGTTTTCCCCTTATCTGGGGCAAATGTCGGAAACCATACTGGGCAGCTCAGGACTGACAGTGACCATCAGGCACAAGAGCAGAAGGAAGCCAGTCAGCTCATCCTGATTCGCCATTCAATGAGATCACGGCTGATCTATAGAGAATCATAGAATCCCTACAGTGTGGAAACAGGCCCTTCGGCCCAACAAGTCCACACCCATCCTTGGAGCATCCCACCCAGACCCATCCCCCTATAATCCACCTAATCTGTACATCCCTGAACACTACGGGCAATTTAGCCTGGCCAATCCACCTAGCCTGCACATCTTTTGGACTGTGGGAGGAAGTCGGAGCACTCGGAGGAAATCCACGCAGACACGGGGAGAATTTGCAAACTCCACACAGACAGTCGCCCGAGGGTGGAATCGAACCTGGGTCCCTGCGCTGTGAGGCAGCAGTGCTACCACTGAGCCACCGTGCCGCCCTCTGATAAATCTAAAATCAATTTTCCTGCCTTTCCCATGAATAACCCTTGATTCCATTATCAATTAAAAATCTGTCTATTTCAGCATTGAATATACTTAATGGCACACGTCAACAGTTCTCAGTGAAGAATTCCACAGATTCACAACTATCAGAGAATAAATTCTTCCTCATCTCTGTCCTTAATGTACGATCCCTCATTCTGTGATTATGCCCTCTGGTCCCAGACTGTCCCACAAGGGAAAGCAACGTCTCCGCATGTATTTCCAGATCTGCAGCAAATAGCCTCACCATGCCTAGACCTCTAATAATCTTTTATGTTTCAATAAAGTCACCGTTCATTCTTCTATCTTCCAATCAGTACAGGGCCAACCTACTCAACCTCTGCTCAAAAGACAGACCCTCCATGCTTTGTACCAGCCGAGTGAACCTTTTGTGGACTGCCTCCAATGCCAGTGTATCTTTCATTAGATAAAGGAGCCCAGAATTAGTCACAGCATTTCAGCTCTGGTCTGACTAGTGCCTTGCACATTTTTATTTAAATCTCACTACTTTTGTACTCCATTTCTTTTGAAATAAAGCCCAACATTCCATTTGCCTTCCCAATTACTACCGACGTTGGAAGCGAAGTTATTTGAGCGATTCAAGGATAAGTACTGCCAAATCCCTCTGTTTGGTAGCTTTCTTTAGTCTTTCACCATTTAAATAATAGTCACCTCCTCTATTCTTCCTGTCATAAATTCATATTTTCCTATTTCATCTGTCAAGATTTTTTTCCCACTCACAACTTGTTCATATCTCTCTGCAAGCTCTTTGTGTCATCCTCACCATTTGCCTTCCCACCCATCTGTCCTGGTGCACAATAGGCTTTTAAACATGGCACGAGTGCAAGGTGCACTCATGAATTCTGGGATAACCACTAGCTATAATAAATTGTTCTGGGAATGATATAAAACACAAAATAGGACATGACAGAGTGATGAAGAGGTCAGGTACTTAAGGAGGTAACTGTGGCATGATATGGCAACAACACTCACTGGGCTTAGCAGCAGAAACCCTCCAAATATGTGACGTAACTTGGACTGAGCCAAAAAAGGTAAGATTCGACCCAAAGATAATTAATTAGAATTTTGAATTGAAATTGAAGCTTTTTTCCCAGTTATAGTAGTGCAGCTGCTCCATTTATGATCAAACATTGATATGGATGATCAGCCTTTTTAATTTTTCAGAATGATTTGCATTAAAATTGGCTACATTTTGATTAAAACATAGCAAATCAAGTACACCCTGAATAGCTCTTCTATACCGATGCAATCTCAGAAATACACATTACTGCACTGGTCTGGCAATTCCACTTTGAACAGCGCCTGGTTTTCAAAGATCAGAAGGTTGTTTTCCACGATTCAACGTTAGCAAATTTGAAATGCGCATTTTGATGCATTCCAAATTGAAGTTGAAATGCTGATATGCCAATCATGCGCAGACAAATAGAATAAATAAAAGTCAATTTAAAGAATGGATTGCAGCATTTAGTGGTCACTTAAACAGCTTGGAATATTATACTCTTTAGTAGCTAAACATACTCCAGGACATTTTCCAGCACGACAACATAAGATTAAGATATTGCATTTGGCATGACTGGAGAACATTGTTACATGAAGTTATAGTTTAATAAATTGTTTTGTGATTGCTGTTAATATAATGCCAAATTTAACCAAACATAATTTCTTATTTGGGCCATAAACTCAGCACTGCTACTATTTAAGCTACGTTATAACTTTTTACTTTAGTGAATAATCACGTTCTAAAGTTCACTGTCTTCTTTTCCTCCTTAAAACCTCATGGTCATCCCCTTTGACCCTGCCAGCTCACATGACCTTGAAACTCCAGAGATACGGCCATCTCGGATCACTTTCTTGTAGCGCTCTCCATCCTCACCCACTGCCCATGCTCCTACTGTCTCCTTCTGCAGCTGCCACCATTCACTTAAATCTGTACTTGCAAAATCCCAATTCACCAGCCTTTTGTCTTCCATTTTCCACAACATTTCTGCTGATTTTCCACTACTGATTTACTCAATGGTACTCTCAACTCTACCTCTGGTGCCCTCGATCCCAGTACAGGTATTACATTCTCACCTCAGTCATTCATCCTGATATAGGGCTGATCTGCGCTCTCTTAGATCCAAAGGATGCAGATTTGTAAAGATATGGCAGACTTGATTTAGCCATCCATTGCAGATTGGAGTAAACCACAGAAATCATGACCAGTTCCCACTCCCCAGCGGCCTGCTAAAACTGCGCTCTATTCCAGGATCGACTTGGAATGCAAACATGACCCACTGCTTCTTTTTCCTATAGCAAACCTTTCCTGGTTCCCATGTTTGACAATGTTTATAATGGTTCACTCTCCTCAGATGTTGCTTTCTTCACCTTCAAATCTGCCTTTGTCACCCTGGTCATTCGTTCTGAATTGGGCCTCATCTGTGCTCTCTTCAATCTGAAGGATGCAGATTTGTAAGGACTTGACTTAGCCATCCATTGCCAGGTCTAAGTAACCACATAAATCCTCAAAAACCCTCCTCAGAAATCCTTGAGTCCAACATCCTTGCAAGCCAGTGATCCATCTCTAACCTCCTTTTCCACCCCAAAGTCTTAAAGATGTTGTCACCTCCCAAGCCATGGCTATTGATGTTTTTAACATTAAGATAATGGAAACACCTAGTTTGAGGGGCTTGTAAGCAGATCTAAAGTAATTATCATTTATTTAATAAAGTCAGAGTTGGAAGCAAGAAAACATTAAACAATGGGTGGTTCTTTTTTGAGTTTCCTCATGGAGAAAGCATATCTACTGGTGACTCCATAATAGATTTGAATTATCCACACATTACCCAGAGCAAAACGACAGATTGCAGAAGTGAAGATAGTTAATTTAAACCTCAATTTGGCACATCTTAGGTGTGCCACATTGCCATGGAAATAGATTGCAGGGAGACCTTTTTTTTTGCTTTGAGTTATTTGTGTGATTTCTCAGAGTTTGGGTCAACTGGGCAGCAGCATTGAGCAAAGCAGTGAATGTGTCTGCAATGATCTTTACAGGAGCAAAAGTCTACATAAGGGTGCTTCCCAATGTTGGAGGCACTGAGTAAGAAACCAGTGAAGCTTGAGCTGACTTGTCTACAATCAGGAGATACTTACGAAGAGTTCTCTTGCTGGATTCTGGTGGAACAAAACAAGGAAATTTCATACCTCAGGTAACAACAGAAACACTGAGGGATGAAAGTGAATTTTTAAGAGTTGGCGACATGATTCGGACTGCTCCCAGAAGTGAAGAAACCTTCAATGATGTGTAAAATATAGGGAGCTCTTTAATGGAAATAAAAGTCACATGGGAAATGGTTTGTTAAAAGTTTTGAGTTTAAAATTCCAGTGTCTATGAGACATGGAGTGTTGAGTACTTGCTTTGCATAATGCTGGTAAGTAACGGTTTTCATATAAAAAACGTTTGGTTATTTAGGCTGTCATGTAAACCTTTCAGTTATTAATTGGAAGCTTAAATTACTTGTTTCAAATTACAGGTCTCCCTTGAAATCATAATACTGGAAAGTTATTCCATTCAACATGAAAATGGTGAAAAAAACAATGCCTTCATGTTGCTGGTAAGGTGATTGAGTGAGACTGCCTTCCTGCATTTTGCAACATCCTTTGAGAGAGTATTTATTAGTTCTGCATTTACATGTGAACAGAAGTTGAACTGATTGCACCAAATTATTTTTATAATTATTGGTCTGCATGAATTGTCTACCAGTACAGCTGTGGGGTTTTGTAACATTAGAGCCAGCAATAGGGGAAACACAGAAAGCAGCTCACTATACACTTCTTTCAGCGATAATGAGGGGGCAGATATACAGACACCTATGAGAAAACTGCTTGACGTACACCAACAATTGCATCAGATATTACCATAGTCTGGGAAACGGGTGTCACTTTACTCCAAGTAGCAACTGAGATTTTGATTTTTTGTGAAAACCGAAAGGACCTGACCCGAAACGTTAACTCTGATGTTTTCTTCACAGATGCTGCCAGACCTGCTGAAGTTCCAGCAACTTCTGTTTTTGTTTTTGATTTATTGTGTTGTTATTGTCAGTATTCATGATAAAGAACATTCTCTTCTCAATGAACCGGAAATTTCCAAACAATTGCTGACAATGCACTCATTTTTAGTAGATAACCATGCCTGTAGCCATTACAGGAATTACCTAAATGACAACAAAGTTTGAAGGTCTAAACAACTGGTATACTTATACCCTTCTTACAGTCTATTATTAACCTGATTTCAGAGAACTGTACTGAGCATATTAACTCACCCACCTTGGGGAGGAGTAAGGGTCTTGCCTTGTTCCTGACACCAGCCCACTGGATGAATGTATGGACTACTCGCATCACACCTAGCAAAGAAGGAATTCCCATGTTAATGAATGAAAACATTCAATAATGTTTGAATACAGCAAGCTAACACAAACAGCATAGATGATTAGAATTTGGTGTACAGCTTAATCAGATCTCTTCTAAAGTAAACACAAAATTCTGGAAGAAGTGAGTTGTGAAGTTCAAACTGATGTATATATGCAGATGAGAGAAAAGTTGTCATGAGAGAAATACTGCATTTTTATGGATATTACTTGATTGGCTTGGATAGTGCTTAAATTAAACTTGTGGAAATGAGCAGCAAGTTACTGGCATGGCTAATGTGATATGGCCAAGATTTCACTTTCCTGACTTCCACCAATTCCAAGCGAATGCCATCTACAAGTTTGCTGATGACACCACCATGGTAGGACGGGTATCAAACAATGATGAGTCGGAATACAGAAAGGAAATAGAGGGCTTGGTGGTGTGGTGCAATGATAACAACCTCTCTCTCAATGTCGGCAAAACTAAAGTAATGTTCATTGACTTCAGAAACAAAGGAGGAGAACATGTCCCATCTACATCAATGGAGCAGAGGTTCAGAAGGTTGAGAGCGTAAAGTTCCTTAGAGTGACGATAATTGACAACCTGGACTTCCCAAGTAGATGCAATGGCCAAGAAGGCACAACAATGCCTCTTCTTTCTCAGGCGGCGCAGGAAATTCGGCATGTTCATGAGGACCCTCACCAACTTTTACAGATACACCGTTGAAAGCATACTGTCCGGGTGCATGATGGCCTGGTACAGCAACTGCTCTGCCCAGGATGGTAAGAAACTACAGAAGGTGATGCGCACAACCCAGACCATCATCGAACTCATACTCCCATTCATGGACTCCATTTACACATGTCATTGCCAACGTTACTAAAAACACCTCACACCCCGGTAACAATGTCCTACAGCCTCTTTGATCAGGCAGAAGATACAGAAACTTGAACACATTCAGCAGCAGGTTCAAAACAGCTTGCTCCCTGCTGTTATTAGACTGATGAATGGACTTTCTAACTTCATATATTGCGGGTCTTGTTAATGCTGTTCTTGCCCAGCGCATATCCTGTATGGTGTAACCTGTATGCCTTACTCTGTCCATGTTTTTTAACCCTATGATCTGTACATCCTTGCTTACGATGATCTGCCTGTACTGCTTGCAAACAAAGCTTTACACTGCACTTAGGCATGTGACAATAAATCAAATCAAATTCAAAAAACAAATCAAAAATCTGGAACTCAGTCTTGATTTTATTCACTGACACAATTGCCACCACATAATGGGGGATAAGTTTCCAAACACTGAGACCCTCAAGAAGAAGAAATTTCTCCTGATCTCTGTCTCGATAAAGAACCCCATTTTGAAACCACGTTCCTCCACTTCCAGTTCTAGACTCCCCCACGTAGGAAAACATCTCTCAGCGTCCACCCTGTCAAGTTCCCTCAGAATATTGCAAGCTTCTAGAAGGCCACTTCTCACTCTTCTGAATTCCAAAGGCTATAGGCCCTTTCCTCACAAGAGAACCCCTTCATTCCAGGAATCAGCCAAATAGATCTTCTCTGAACTTAACCTGTATACTCTGCTGTCTAGGTACTTAAAGTGTAACTCTCACTGAACCCTCAGCTATTCCATTATCTTTATTCATTGATGAAGTTTCACTTACAGTTCGTCTGCACTTTTAGGGAAATATATTTTTCCTATACGCTGTTAAACACTGTTTGAAATACTACCCATTGCTGTTCTGCATTGTCATTTTCCGATATTATTTTCATATTTCTTTTCCAAGTTCTGTTGTTAGGTCCTCAAAATTAGTTTCCCTCAATCTGGTTTTTGACATAATTATATCCTTCCTTATCATCATCTGAATGGTCACTACTACCTAGATGTTCCCTACTTTTGTATTCTTCTCTTATCTGCTCTGGTTCATTCTGCATCAATAACATCTAATAACATATCTTGCCTTGCTGAGCTTTTCATCTCTTTGGTTGGAAAGGACCCTTGCACACATTGTAGGAACTCCACTCCCTTATTCTCTTTATCTACTGCTTCTGTCCAAATCATATTCGAGCAGTTAAAATCCACCATGATTATTATTCTTCGCTTTTTCACTCAACTCCCTAATTTTTTGCCCATTGTCCCCCAACTCCCTTCCACAATTTCTGTGCACCATAGGTGGCATCTATGAGTGTGATTGATGTCACTTTAATGTCTACCTATTTGGATGCTATTTTAGTTTTGCTGATAGTGGTATCCATTTTCTCAAATACCATTATGCTGTCTTGAATAAGTACAGCTATGATATATGGTGCATTGTTTAATTCCTCATCCTGATTTTTCAACAGCCATATCTCAGTGCTCCCTGCTCTTCCTGGTTCCTCCACACACGATTTCCTCCATATTTGATTTTATTATGGGCATAGCCTGCATTGTTGCACACACATTTTCATAGAATCATAGAAACCAGACAGTGTGGAAACAGGCCCTTCGGCCCAACAAATCCATACCGATCGTTGGAGCATCCCACCCAGACCCATCCCCCTACAACCCACCTAAGCTACACATCCCTGACCACGACAGGCAGTTTAGCATAACCAATCCACCTAACCTGCACACCTTTGGACTGTGGGAGGAAACCCGTGCAGACACGGGGAGAATGTGCAAACTCCACACAGACAGTCGCCTGAGGGTGGAATCAAGCCCGGGTCCCTGGCGCTGTGAGGCAGCAGTGCCATTTTAACAGGGGTCTGACCCACTTTACATGTAAGCATCTTTTTAAACTCACATTTGATATCTCTAGTTATTCCCTTGCCAACAAAGTCTTCCTGGAATTTATTCTTCCCTTTTGCCTTCATCTCCTTTTTTGTTTACATTTCGGTTTATAATTTCTCGTTCTAATCCTTTCCCTCATTTTATTGGTGTGAAGGCTTTGACACCTACCTACAAACACTTTAAGCTTGGCCTGGGTCCCATTCCATTTCAAACAGAACTTATTCCAATGGTACAGATCCTTCCTGCCCCAAAACAACACTCAGCTTGCATCCCATGAAAAGTTCCTCTTCTTTTCCAATCCCATCCTTCAGTGTTAATTTTTATGATCAGTCTGCTCAAATGACAACTTGCTTATGACTTGGGCAATAACTCAAAGATTGTTATCAACAGTGGTTTCGAATTGAGAATTTAACTCTTGATATTATTACAGCATGTTCTTAGCTATATTGTTTGTTTGAACATATGCTGTGATGATGGGATTTACTCCCCTCCCATTCCAAGTTCGTTCTCAGCTGGCATGAGTTATCCCTCATCACAGCACCTCGTAGGCAACTCACCCTCTTTGGAACTTCTTTCTCTTCACTACAGAGGACCCTTTCTAACTACCTTTCCAACCCATCACCACCCCCAAAGTAATAAAGTCACCTGTTGGTTCCATACTTCTATTCAGCTCTGCCTCCACGACATGCATGCATAGATTTAAACAATATTTTGAGCCTTGTCAGGATATACAATGGTAGCTTTACGTAGACATGTTCTCATTTCTTTGATCTTTCTGCCATCCTTATCACTCAGTTTTTGTCACTGCCTCTGCGTTGAGTTTGAGAGCCTAATATTGCATCATAACATTGCCTCAGCCGTTGCCCCTCAAGCCAACTCCCATTCAATTTATGCCTGCCTTCATAACCCAGTTGGAGCCACTTTATTTTCCATTTTCTGTGTACCCACCCCAATACCCACGTAGCTGAAATAGTGTAGACTGAGTTTTCACAAACACAGCATGCGTCTGTTAGTTAGAGCTGACTGACTTCATAGTTTAGAGTGAACCCTCTAAGCAGAATAAAATCCACCTCACTTGGGTTCCAGGACATCTGTTACATTTTTGATATTTCTTGACAATTGTGTCAAAAATTCTGTGCAACGAAACAACATTCAGAATGATGATAAACAAGTCCTCACCAGTAATCATACGTATCATCCCAGTTATCGAAATGGACCAAAAAGCGATTGTCTATGATATCTGTTACTGTTGCAACACAGATCAGGGAGGGGTTCTTTCTGTCCACTGCTTCCAGCTTCATACCTACTCGAAATCCTGAAGGAGTAACAGTCTGAGAGACAAATAATGAATATTTTAGAAAATAATTATGTATGATAACATTTGATACATGAAAGTGATTACATATCTTGCGAAAAACGCGCTGTGCAATAAATAACAATTGATGTCTTTAGGTGCAAATAATTAACAAGGGGGACATTGTGATGGAACTATTAACAATGGCCATTGCTGCTCATCTCAGACTGACAGACATGTCAGGGACCAAAGTGAAACAGCGGCAAAATAAATGATGCCAGGAGCCTGCATGTCAGTTTGCCTCCTCTATTCCTCACAGAGGACTGGCTCCGAAGGACAGGGGGAAAGCACAGCACCTCTTAACTGGTTCAGATCATTAGTGAGGTCATTAAGAACGTTCTTTTGACTCCTAGAAATTGCCATGTGGTGGGCAGCTATTCCTGGAATCCCTGCAGAGCAGGAAGATGCCATTCTGCCCATTGAATCTGCATGAAGAGCATCCCACTCAGACGCATCCCCCACACAATCCCCATAACCTTCCATTTTTCATGGTTAGTCCACCTAGGATACACATCCCAGGACACTACGGAGCAATTTAGCATGGCCAATCCACCTAACCTGCGCATCTTTGACTGTGGGAGGAAACCAGAGCACCCGGAGGAAACCCACGTAGACATGGGAAGAATGTGCAAACTCCACACAAATGGTTGCCCGAGGCTGGAACCGAACCTGGCTCCCTGGAGCTGTGAGGCAGCAGTGCTAACCACTGAGCCACCGTGTGCAGCTCCCTGAACCTTGAGAACTGCAGCTGGACAGGACAATGGCATCCATACTGAAACAGTTTGCTTTGGTTGAAAAAAACGAAAGTATGGACAAGAAATACTGAACACCTGTAAAACCTCAATACTCAACTTTGCACTTCCTTATTCCAGGTCCCAGCTCTCCATTTACCACAATCACTTGAAAGGTGAAGATCCTTCCCTATTTTAGAGTTATAGGAAGGATATAATTAAGCTAGAGAGGATTCAGAAAGAAAGAAGGTTTGAGCTAGAAAGAAAGGCTAGATAGGTTGGGACTTTTTTCACTAGAGCATGGGAGGTTGAAAGGTGACATTATAGAGGTTTATAAAATCATGAGGCATATAGATAAGGTTAATGGTAGATGTCTTTGCCATAAGGGATGGGGGATTTCAAGACTAGGGGGCATATTTTTAAGGTGAGAGGAGAGAGCTTTAGAAAAGACACGAGGGGCAAATTTTTTACACAGAGGTGGTTTGCATGTGGAATAAACGGCCAGAGGAAGTGGTGAATGTGGGCACAGTTACAACATTTAAAAGACACTTAGATAAGAACATGAATAGGAAAGATTTGGAGGATTATGGGTCAGCAGCAGGGAGGTGGGACTAGTTTAGTTTCGGATTGTGTTTGTCACCATCTGGTTAGACTGCTTCCGAGCTGTATGTCTCTATCACATCTAAATGGCAGATTTTGGCTAGAGCCTGGCCTACTTCCCTGTTGTCCCACCTCAATTCCTGTATCCCCGACCATAAAGTGGGCAGATCAGCCTCATGATTCATTGAGACCCCACCCCATGAAAATCACACCATGGCAAGGAGATTGTTCGATCTACGGGGACACATTTCTGACAGGTCAGAAATGCTGTCGCTTCATTGCTCATTATATTTTGGCCAATGTCAACTTCTGCCAGTACTGATAGCACTTATTCAGCAAATTTTCTATTTACACTTAACTTCCAAATTACAAAGTATCTCAGATGGACATCCAACTTCATTAAAAAAAACCCACACAGAGAAACTATTGAGGCATGTAAATCCCGCTGCTCCATTATTATGGCAGCAGAACAAGATCACAGATTTTCAGCTTCACAGCCTTTAGATTCAAATGCTGACACAAAAATTGCTTCAAATGCACTTTTCAAATACGGAAACTGTGTGTCATGATGCCAAAGCTTACAACCAGGACAAAAGACAGAGAGAAAAAATAATTTCAGTACATTGTATCGCTGTGCAGAAAGACAGATTTATTATTTAACAACTTCATAACACTGTTAATTTATTTCTATTGGACTGTTGACATTTGCTGGATTCCTACTCTCATAATCAACAATGCAGAAAGAATAAAGATTAACTTTGGTTTCCAATGAGTCCTTTTTAAATCAAGTCACATAATCCAGTTCTTTATAACCTTAAATGCATTTAGCTATCATGCAGTTGTTGCAAAGCCCCTGTTGAATGGGAAGATCAAAATGTGCTGCCGGTGAACAGCAAGACATGTAAATCAACCATAATTGAGAGGTTTATTAGAAGTAATAATGAAGGTGGCTCATGAAAAGGTCCTATTTAAACTGTATAGTCCTCATGTCAGCTCACAATTTGAGCTTGGGGCCCAGTCTTAAATACAAAGACATAAGGAAGACGATTCAAAGAGCCATGAGACTGATCCATAGTATCACATCACTTGGCTGTGCGAAACAAGTGCAGAAACTTGGACTTGTTTCTTTTTACAGGAAGCAACTCAGAGGTAATCTACTAAAGGTGAGAAAAAGTCAAACAGTATCAAAAAGACAGGCCTGGAAAAAGCTTTTTAAAAACACCATGAAAGATGTTCAAAAAAATTCAATATGATACAGCATAAATTTGAGGGACAAAAGCTCTGCTTGTCAAAAAATAACAATAACCTGAAAACCAAACAAATGTAAAACGTGAAGCACCACAAACTTTACTTTTTTCATAAAATGATTTTAAGAGAGTTGTCAGAAGCAATCTGGGCAGCTTGGAAACAGGTATTCGTGGCTTTGTAAATTAAATGATGAAGTAGCAAATGTAACGAATAAGCACAGAGTCATAATTTACAGGGGTTGGTTTCACTCAGTTAGCTGGATGGCTGGTTTGCGATGCAGAGTGACACCAAATCCCTGCCAAGGTTACCACAAAGGATTTTCATTCTCAGTCTCTTCCCTCAACTAAAGTGTGGTGACCCTCAGGTTAAACAACCACCAGTCATCTCCAATGAGACAGCAGCCTTATGATCCAATAAGACTATTCTGCCTTTACCTTACATTATTTACAGTAGAGGAAGAGCATAGCATTCCAGATGACCCAAGGAAAATAATAATGAATCAGCGACAAGAATAAATATTAAAGATTAATTAAGAAAATAATGGCAGAGATTCAAGAGAAATAGGTGGGGACATTGTTGATACCAAACAATAATGTTCCAAATGAAAGCAAAATATCGTGGATGCTGGAAATCTGAAACAAACACGGAGAATGCCGGAGAAACTCAGCAGGTCCAGCAACATCTGTCGGGACAGAAACAGAGTAAACATTTTGAGTCTAGTATGACTTCTCTTCGGAACCGCCTACCAGATTCATAGTCATAGAGCTGTCCAGTACGGAAAGAGACCCTTCGGTCCAACTCGTTCATTCCAACCAGATATCCTAAATTAATATGGCCCCATTTGCCAGCATTTGACCCATATCCCTCCAAACCCTTCTTTTTCATGTACCCATCCAGATACCTTCTAAATATTGTAATTGTACCAGGCTCCATCGCTTCTTCTGGCGGCTCATTCCATATACTCACCACCCTCTTCGTGAAAAAGTTGCCCCGTAGGTCCCTTTTAAATCTTTCCCCTATCATGCAAAATGTGAACTCTGTTTCCCTCTCCAATAATCTTCCCAAGAGCTTTCATTCAGGAACTGCTGCTTCGAATTGTAAAGCGCATGCTATTTCACGAAGATGACAGGAGAAACCAGGAATACTTGAACAGTTAGCCCAGTTTCTGTCATCAGGAAATAACTTACCTACAATTAAGTACAGATAATGGGCATGTACTCTAATTGGCTGGATGTGACAAGTTGTGCCTGACAATGTTCTAAATAATATTCCCATCAAAAATGAACCAGAATATGCTCCGGAGATAATACAAAGCAGCTGATGCTTATCGGGACATATAGCAGGGCAGTGGCCCTGGGGGATTGCATATGGCTGTGGAGTGTCTCTACCTCTGAGTCAGGAGACCTGGGTTCAAGTTCTACCTGCCTCACAGGTGTGTAATAACATTTCTGAACAGGGTGAACAGAAAATATCTACAGCCATGCTTTAAGTCTCATGTGGTGCAGTGGTAGTGTCCCTTCATTTGAGCCAGGAAACCTGGGTTCAGGTCCCATCTGCCACAGACCTGAGTCATAACACAGCTGATTTAACAATGTTTAATAGGCTTTTGTGGTGCAGGAACACAAAGAACTGGGTTCAAGCCCTATCTCCTCCAGAGGTGGGTTGCAAATCTCTGAACAGAGTGATTTTTAAAAAAGGGTTTTTTTTTTGCCAGTATGGGGAGCTACTTAGTTAAGGAGGAATTTCTTCAGTCAAGGAGTAGAGAGTCTGTAGAATTCTTTATTACAGAGTACTGTCAAGGCTGGATCAAGTGAATTCATGGTTAAGATAGACATTATTAATTAGTAAGGGAATCACCGATTACAGGGAAAACGCAGGAAAATGGAGTTGAGGATTACCATATTCCCCCTGATCTCAATTGAATGGTGGAGCAGACTCAAAGGGCTCAATGGCCTACTTCTGCTCCGATTGTTTTATGGTCTCTCACTTCCAAAAATTGCTCTCTCTTCCTGTCCTATCATTGATTGAGTTGCCAGCCAATCAGCTGCGGCCATGTGATTTGGCCAACCACCCTGAACAGAGTCAAGTGCCAACAGAAATCTGGTCATGTGTAACATCACAGCTTCACAAAACATTGATGGATAGAGCAGCAAAATACTCTCCAAATGTCACGTAGTGATGTTAATAATCAAGATGGACCATGTGCAGTCTCAGATAGGCAGCTTAGAGATGAAATTTCTGTGTCTTAAATGGCCCACCTCTTATTCTAAGATTATGCCCCCGAGTCCTGGAATCTCCCACGAAACAATCTTTAACATCCATTCTATCAAGTCCCTCGACAATCTTGTATGTTTCAAAATGGTTGCCTTGCAATTCCAATGAGTATAGGCCCAATCTA